TAAACCTGAATTCTCAGTACTTAGGAGGCTCAGGCAGGAGGATTCTAAGTTAAAGGCTGGTCCAGGGTACTCAGCAAGACCTTGTCAAAGAGCAGAAACAACAACAAAATTCTGTATGCACCTAATAAGACAGTTTTGTTTTTTGTTTGTTTTTCTTTGCTGAGGATAGAACTCAGGGCATTGAAGATATCAGTCAAGGGCTGACTAAGTCAATATATTAAAATAGTTGACTTAGACAGTTGCAATAGTAACTCCAGCCTCCACTCCCTGCTCAATACTGATGGAAGTAATGACTTAACGATCTCAGAAGGACTGTGTAAGTCGCTCAGTCGCCATAGATTCTCATCTGGAAACAATCCCGTGTCTTAGAACCTGCACCACCAGGGGTTTTTCTTGTAGTGGTTACTGTTGTACTGGATGCCAACTGGTCCTTTCACTTTCAGATTCTTTTCCTTTGCACCTCTCATCAAGTCAGAAACTGCACATCATGGCTGGAGGGGGGGGGGGATTTGAACTTGGTGGATCGCCAACTCCAGTTGTATGGGTATCCTTCTGGGTTTTTGTTTGTTTTTAATGTGGATGATTTTTGCCTGTATGCATGTCTTGAACTATGTACATGCAATAACAGCAGAGACCAGGAGAAGGTGCTTGATTTCCTAGAACTGGAGTTATCAACAGTTGTGAGCCACAAACTGGGTGCTGTGAGCTACAAAGTGGGTGCTGGGAATTGGTACCAGAAAGCAGCTGCCAAGTGGTATTGGCACACACCTTTAACCCCAGCACTTAAGAAGCAGAGGAGGGTGAATCTCTGAGTTTGAGGCCAGCCTGATCTACAAAATTAGGTATCAGAAAGGGGGCTGTAGAGACAGCTTGGCCTGTGGTCCAATCATCCTTTTATGCAGACCTGCTGGGTAAAGCCACAGGAAACCTGAATGGGCTCCAACAAAAGCTGACTTCATAAATTCTTTAAATAATATATTCATCCCATTGGTTCTGTTTCTCCAGAGAAGCCTTACTAATACAAAGTGGAATTGCAACTGTAAACAGTTCAGAGTGTAGCTGTAAACAAGAGCAGTGAAATAGGGACAGCATTCTGTGCTAGAAGAGAACTTGGGGATGGAGTGAGAATTCTTTGTTTTAAAGAATTGGAGATTGGTGGGGACTTGTGAGGTGGTGATGGGGCAGTTTCTATCTTCTCAAAGCAGCAAATTCAGTTGCTGAGGTTGAGAAGAGAACAAGCATGAAAGGTAAAAAATATTGGATGTATAGTTTAGTTTTTTTTTCCTAAATAAAGTCTTTATCTTCATTTGGGAGTTAGAGCATTCTAGTCAGATTAAAAACTTGAAAACTCCTTTATATCTGTGTTGAACATTTAAAAAATGTCCTCCCTTTCTCTCTTCCATCCTTCCTTCCTTCCGACAGGATTTTACTCTGTAGCTCAGGCTGTCCTGGAACTCACTGTGTAGACTAGGCTCACTTCAGACTTGTGACAATCTTCTTGTTTATGCCTCCCAGATACTGGGATTATAGGTGTGTGCTACTATGCCTGGTTAAAATGTATTTGTTTAGTACATAGCAAATATTGGGTATAAACAATTCTTAAGGGGCTGGGAGTATAGCTCAATGGCAGAGCACTAGCCTGCAATGTACAAGACCTTGGTTCAATCCCTAGCACCATACATACTCAAAAAAGATTCTTACAGGCCAAGGAGAGGACTTGGCAGGTAAAGTGTTAGCCTTGTACACATCACATCTGATGACCAGTGTTTGATCCCCGGAACCTATGTAAAAAGCTGAATGCATAGGCTAGTTAGCCAGGAGTATGGTGTTCAGTGGCAGAAGCAACAGGAGAGACCATGCCTCCTCAAGGTGGAAGGTGAGAACTGATTCCACAAAGTTGTCCTCTGACCTCCACATGTGTGCTGTGGCAAGTACATGCCCACACTCATACATGCAATGAATAATTCTTTTAAAATTTTTCAAAAGAGATTCTTACATAGAAATGCTACCGCCTTAGTGTGTATAAGTGACTTTAAAATTTTTATTTATTATTTATATTTTATATATGAATGCTCTGCATGTATAACTGTATGCCAGAAGAGGGCACCAGGTCCTATTTTAGATGGTTGTGAGCTACCACGTGGGTTCTGGGAATTGAACTCAGGTCCTCTGGAAGAGCAGTCAGTGCTTTTAACCACTGAGCCATCTCTCCAGCCCATGTGACTTTTATAAAGTTATAAAAATATTTACTCGAGTGAGTTCCAGGAAAGGCGCAAAGCTACACAAGAGAAACCCTGCCTCGAAAAAAAAAAATTTACTCGAGAAAAATATATTTAGAAAACTGAAAAGAGTCCCATAGTCTATATTCCTCCCATCCAAGTCTAGTCATACCCTCAGGGTCCTCTATGTATGTATGTATGTATGTATGTATGTATGTATGTATGTATGTATGTATGTATCTACCTATCTATCTATCTATCTATCTACCTACCTACCTACCTACCTAGTTAGGTTTTTTTTTTCTTTTTAAATTTGTTTTAAGTGTGTTGTGTTTTACCTGCAGGTATGTATGTGTATCACGTGCATGCCTAGTGTCCTCAGAGGCCAGAAGAGGGCATCAGATCCCTTGGTTATAAGGGGCCACATGAATGCTGGAAACTGAAAGGTCCTCTGAAGTGCAGCAAGTGTTCCCAATTGCTAAGCCATCTTTCCAGCTCTCATGTGTTTATTTTTGTGGTTCTGGGATTCAAAGAATGTAGACTCTCAAGCATGCTAGACATGTAGTCTACCAACCAAGCTACATTTCCTATTAATTGTCAACATTAAAAAAAAAAGAATAGTTGCAATCATGTTTTACATACAGTATACACTGTGTTATTCTGTACTTATTGGCTATCCCTGTAAATATTTTTCATGTTACTACATAGTTTTCACAACCATTGAATTGCTGGGCCATTATTTGCTGAACAATATCCTATTGTGCTGGACATTTAGGTTAACAATTTTTAGTCATTCTATATAATTATTTTGAACAAATATCCCTAAGAAATTCATTGTGTGCCTCCCTTTTATTATTTGATCAGCTACTCCTGTTTGGAGCTGTATAACTTAGAGAGTAATTCTGGGCTGTCTTTTCATTTTGACTTATGGTCACGCTGTTAAAAGATTCTTTCCCTAATTCTACTAATTATATGTTAGGTTTGAAGTTATACAAGGAAACAATGTGTGTCCTGGCTGTTCCTAGCTTTGAATAGCTTTTGAAATTCTAATTTTAGGATGTGTATTCCATGAAACATTATGTGTTTTTCTAGGTTGATTCGAGGATTGGTTTTGGACCATGGTGCCCGTCATCCAGGCATGAAGAAGCAAGTGCAAGATGCATTTATCCTCATTTGCAATGTGTCACTAGAGTATGAAAAAACGTGCGTGTCAGTTTGTCTTCCTAATATTTGAAACTCTTTTAACACTTCTTTTTCTTTCTTTTTTTTGTAAATTTGTTTTTATTTTTAATTATGTGTATATATCCATGTGAGTAAAGGTGCCCCAGGAGGCCAGAAGAGGGCATCCATCCCCTGGATCTGATGGTCCAGGCAATTGTGAGCCACCTGACAGGGTGCTGGGAACTGAACTCAGGTCCCCTTAGCCTGAGCCATCTCTCCAACCCCAATTTAAAAATTATTTTTTCCATCTCCCCCCTCCTTCTTTCACAGTCCCCCCCACCCCCCCGCCCCTCTCTCTCAAGAGTTTCACTCTTTAGTCCGGGATGGTCTCTAACTAACATGCACACTCCTCCTGCCTGTCTCTTGAGTGTTGGGATAACAAGTATGAGCCACTGTGCCCAGCTCTCTTTTCTCTCAAGGTGTTTTGTAACTTCTTTTTCTCTTCTATGCCCACCTCGCTAGCTTTTCCCATTTGTCCATTTTTTAAGAAAGGGACTTCCCCGGGGTTCTCCCATTATGCTATAAGCCTGTATTTAAGACCTCTTCCCTCCTTCAATAAACAACATTCGACATTAAATAAAAAATTAATTAATTAATTAATTAATTAAAAAAAAGAAAGGGGCTTCCATTGCTCCGGGTGACTTCAAACTTGTGAACCTCTTGCTTTAGCCTCCATACCTGGTTTACTAACTTGTTCTTATTAATTCTTTAGAGAAGTGAGCTCTGGTTTCTTTTATAAGACTGTAGAAGAGAAAGAGAAATTGGTAAAAGCTGAAAGAAAATTTATTGAAGATAGAGTGCAGAAAATAATAGACCTAAAACAGAAAGTCTGTGCTGAGACCAATAAAGGATTTGTTGTCGTTAATCAAAAGGTGAGAAGGAAGTTTGCAGCGTAAGCGCCTGCCACTGTTTTTCAGCATTTCTCAAAGTGTGGCTGTTGACCCCAAAGGGACCTTATGACATTTTCAGGGAGTTTGGGGAGGAAACTTTTCATAGTAATAACGCCTTTTGTATTGTGTGGACATTTGTGAGGAAAGGTAAAGCTGCTGACTTCCTCCTGCACACCAGGAGAGCAGCGTCAAACTGTGCCTGCCCTTGTCCTCTTCACTACCACAGCACCAGGGGAGAAGCTGCTTCATTTTGGGGTGGCTGGATGGTGGGTCTGGAAAGGTGGCTCAGCAGGTAAGGGCCTGTGCTGCTCTTTGGGGTCTGAGTTCAGCTCTCACACCCACGTGGTCGAATGGCTCACCGCTACCTGCCTGCGGCTCCAAGGGAACTCTTGCCCTCAGAACTCCACACACCTGCACGCGGGCACATTTCCACACACAGACATACCATACCTACATTGTTTTTTAATTTAGAAAAGAATGTCTTGAAATGCTAACTATTGATCTTATTAAAAATTGACCCTTAAGGATTCATCTTTTTAAAAATTATTTATTTAGTTTATGTGTGTTGATTTTTTACCCGCATGCATGTCTGTGTGAGGGTGCCAGATCCTCTGGAACTAGAGTTACAGACAGTTGTGAGCTGGCCTATGGGTGCTGGGAATTGAACTTGGATCCTTTGGAAGAGCAGCTACTGCTCTTAACCACTGAGCCATCTCTCCAGCTCCAAGGATTCATCTTTTTATAATTTTGTTTGATAAAATATGAAATGTACATAAAGCACTTCTTCATAGCAAAACATAATGGTTGTCTTGAAGAAAGCCTATGTATAATTGGATTTTGAGTGAAACTAGCTACTTTTTCATGGAAAGTCATTTTTAGTTGAAAAAAGGTTCAACAGATAAACTGTGGTTATCTAGATTTGGATGTTCAGTGGATTTTTTTCCACTGAAAAACAAATGGAACAGTCCTACTACTCCAAGGAAGATAACTCATAGGGTGTGCTGCCAGTAGTAACATTTGAACTCAACTCAACGAACCAGTGCTTTCTAACTGACTAAAATCCACATGATTTTACAAAGTCATGCATGAATAAATAACCCACTTAAAATATAAGATTAATGATTTAAAAAACCCTTTAAAATGTTTTCCTGTTTAAGTCATGTTTGGGAGTGTATGACTGAAACTGGAGTTGCAGGCTGTTGTGAGCCATCCCACATGGGTGCTAGGAACGGAACTGAGGACCTCTGAGAGAGTAGCCTGTGTTCTTAACCACTGACCTCTCTCTCCAGCCCCTGTTTCTATGATAACGATACAGATACAACTCACTATACAGCTTAGGCTGACAAGGAACTTGCTCTGTAGTCTATACTGCCCTGGAACTTTAGATCTTCCTTCTTTAGCTTCCTGAGTGCTGGGATTACCGTTGTGTACCATCATGCCCAGGCTTGATTCTTCTTGATTTTTAAGACTGTAAAGTGGTGCTGAGAAAAAAAAAAAAGCTTGAGAAATACTGGCTTAAATTTTTTTAAGGTTAAGAGTAGAGCTCAATGGTAGAGCACTTGCTAGTGTGGAACAAAAGCCACTTAACTTTTGTGTTAACTTGACTACAGGGCATTGATCCGTTCTCCTTAGAAATGCTGGCAAAACATAATATCGTAGCTCTTCGCAGGGCAAAAAGAAGAAATCTCGAAAGGTAAGTGCAAATTATGTATCCGAAGTGTTTTCTGTTGCTCTTGGTGCTGCTGTCCTTTTTGTGTGTAGTGCTGGGAACTGAACCCAAAGCTTTCTAAGTTTTTTTTTCTTTCTTTTTAAACAGTTGGTGGGTGTGGTGGTGCACGCCTTTAATCCCAGCACTGGGAAGGTAGAGGAAGGGGAATCTCTGAGTTGGAGGCAGCCTGGTCTACAGATCGAGTTCCAGGACAGCCAGGGCTACACAGAGAAACCCTCAACCAAACAACAGCAACAAACCCTTAAGATTTGGGGCCAGGGAAATGGCTCAGTGTGTGAAGTGCTTGCTGAGCAAGCATGAAAACCTGAGTTCTGGTCTCCAGAACCCACATGAAAGGCAGGAGCAGCAGCACTGGGTGCCTGTACCCCCAGCTCTAGGGGGTCAGCCAGTCCAGCTAAAACTTCAAGCTTCATGTTCAGTGAGAGACCCTGCCTCAAAAAAGTAAGACAGAGAAGTGACTGACAAAAGACAATCTGGCATCAACCTCTGCCCACCCCTACATGCATGGGTGAGTGCACCCTCATGTACATGGGCACACATACACTCCCTCCCCCACACAAAACAGATTTTAGAAACACTATAATACTGTATGATCTCACTTATATGTAGAATTTAAGAGTACTAAACTTTCAGAAGTAGATAAGTGAATGAATGATAGTTACAGGAGGCTGGAGTGCTAGGGAAGATTCAGAGTTTGGGAGATGTTGGTCCAAGGATACAAAATTTTCATTAGAGAGGAAAGATAGATTTAAGGATTTGTTGTGCATCATTGTGACTATAGTTAATAACTATATGTTTGTTTGTTTGGTTTTGAGACAGGGTCTCAGGTATAGACCAGGCTTGCCTTGAACTCACAGGGAGCCACCTGCCTCTGCTTTCTTAGTGCTTGGATTAAAGTGAGATCATGCAAGGGAAAAAAAAAAAAAGGAAAAGAGAAATTAGCTTTTGTATTTTCCATAACCAAAGTGAAGGTGACATGATGTGATTCCAGGCTTGCTCTTGCTTGTGGAGGAATAGCTGTGAACTCCTTTGAAGACCTTAATGAAGATTGCTTGGGGCATGCTGGCCTTGTATTTGAATATTCATTAGTGAGTATTTCTTTATTTTTTATTTTTATTTTTTGAGACAGGGTTTCTTTATGTTGTCTGGCTGTCCTGGAACTCACTCTGTAGACCAGGCTGGCCTCGAATTCAGAGATCTGCCTGCCTCTGCCTCTGCTTCCCAAGTGCTGTGGGATTAAAGGTGTGCACCACCACCACCACCACCACCACCACCACCACCACCACCACCACCACCACCACCACCACCACTGCCTGGCTCATTAGTGAGTATGTCTCTGAATAGCAGTTATAACATGATTCCTAAACCATTTTTGGTATTTTATATCTTTTAATTCATATTTTGAGGTCTGACAGGACAGAGTTTACAATTTTTTTACCTAAGTGTTAAGAGTTTTGCTATGTAGCCCCAGTTGGTCTTGAACCATCTTCCTAATCCAGCCTCCCCAAATGGTGTGGTAACTTAACCACTTAAAAATACATCTTTAGTTATGTTTGACAAGAAAAAGTTACATGAAGATTGGATCCTAATAGAATATAGATTTGAATTTCATGATGCCATTGCAATACAATGTGTCAAATGTTATACTTGTCGTGTGTGTGTGTGTGTGTGGTGTGTGGTGTGTAAGTCAGGATCTCATGTGTGCTGAGCAAAGTGCTCTACCACCTGTACCCTTCAGCTATGTCCCGAGCCTTACAGCTGTATCTCCTCTTGTTCTCCATTAGGGTGAAGAAAAGTTCACTTTTATTGAGGACTGTGTGAATCCTCTCTCTGTCACCTTGTTGGTCAAAGGACCAAACAAGCATACTCTCACACAGATCAAGGATGCTTTAAGAGACGGACTTCGTGCGGTCAAAAACGCCATTGAAGATGGTAAGCAAGCTCTTTTTGTGGTGGGTATCAGCCTCATGCTTTTTTTTTTTT